CAGTGCCACCCCCCCGTCCCCCCTGCACCCCTCCCCGCAGTGCCCGCGCCAGCAGAAGCAGTTCAACTTGCCAGGTACCGTGAGCCCCCTGCCACCCGTCTGCCTGGGGCTGGGGGGAAGGGACAGAAGCTCTAGGGTTTGGTGACCCCGTGACACGTCACTTCTGGAGCAGAGACCTCCCTGCAGGTCTTCTGAGATGTTGTTGGATGTTGTTGAAAGCAGAAACCACAGGGGCAACCCCACGTTGGGCAAAAGCATCTCTTTGTGGGGACCTGGATGTCTTTGCTGCCACCTCCTTGACTCACAGTGGGGTGGGGAAAAGTTGGAGGCAGAAATGAGCTGCAAGGATGAGTTTAGGATAATTCAGGCTGGGAGGGAGTTTGGGAATCTCTAATCAAACCTCTGACTTGAAGCAGAGCTCAAGGCTTGATCCAGTTTGGTCTTGAAAACCTCCAAGGATGGAGCCAGCACAACCTCTGTGGGCAACCTGCTGTGCTGGAGGCTACAAAAACATTTCCAGGCATGACTTCTCTATTTGCCCATGGAATTTCCTCAACAGCAAATGGGAAACAAGGTCCTAACTCTCTACAGGAGTAACCTGGGTTGACTTCAATGTGTCTTTAGGGTGAGAGGCCTCCAACAAGCTTGTTGGGAGCACCTGTAGGATGATGGTGGGGAGTAGCTGATGTTGGGGCTATCTGATGTAGCTTGTCCCACTGAGTCTTGCCTGGGCATCTGGGACCCTTCTGCTGCTGGAGCTCAGGCTCTTCAGGGATGGTGGAAGAGGTGATTTGGTCAAGGTGGCTGCAGGACACGGGATTTATATTAATGGCCAGAGAAAGCTTCCAGCCTGAGCATGTGCTGAAGCCTCTCCCAGTACAGCTGCCTTTGGGATGTCCTTGGGGCAGTGCTGCTGTTCCAGGGAAGGTCCCTTCCTGCAGTAGAATGGCTCAGTTGAGTGTGGAGGGGCTCAACTGTCCTCAGCCCCCCACCTGCCTCTCCAGCCACTCCCAAAAAGGGCTTGGGAAGGAGGAGCCAGCTCTGAGGTGCTGAAGGACTCACGGCTGCCCCAGGGCTGGTAACCCCTGTGGGGTTTGGTCTTTGGCCTCAGTTGGGAAGTTGGGGTCCCTCCTGGATCCCCAAAACCCCAGGGGTTAACAAACTGGTCTGGTAGGAAGGAGCACAGAGACAGCTTCTCTGGAGGAACCAGATGGCACCTTCGTGCTCTGCTGATCCTGCTGCACCATGAAGATTCCTCCCTTCTGTCTTGACAAGCCTTCAGCTAGAGAGGAGGAGGAGGAGGGAGGAGAGGGGGGGGATTTGACTGACAGGATCCATTTCCACAGTAACAAACATTTCTAAAAGCTGGGAGAAAAAAAATAACCCAAACCACCAACCAAACAACACAGGTCCTCGTGTGCCAGGCTGCAGCTGGGCATGAGTCGGGCTCGACGGAGTGCCCAGGATGCTGGAGGGGTGAGGAAGACAGCGGAGGAGCTGCAAGGAAGCACTTGAGCACCCCAAGGAGTGGCGTGACCCATCCATCGAGGAGGGGCTTGACTCCCACTCCCCAGGTTGGGATTTCACCAGCTGCAGCCTCTGAGTGTCCAAGTCCTGGGAGGACCGTCCACAGCACGGCTGCCAACCTGCAAGCACTGTGCTGGTCTAGCTGAGCTCGTGGTGGCCCAGCCAGAGCTGAAGCATCCTGATATCTTGGCAGTGTGATAGTTGGGCTTGCAGCCATTAACATCCCAAAACTCCTTGCTGGGCAAGCCCTGGACCCTGCCTGGGTCTGAGGGAGAAGGGACAGAAGGTCCGAATGGTGACACTCTTCTGGAGCAGAGACCACGATTGCAGGTCTTTAGAGATGTTATTTCATGTTTTTTTTTTTAAGCAGAAATCACAGAAGTAACCCCACAGTGGGCAGCAGCATCTCCTTTTGGGGACCTGGGCATGCTGCTGATGCCACCACAGCAGAGCCAGGACAGGGAGCCCCTGCCATGCTTGCCTGGCCAGCAGAGATGAAGAAGGGCAAGATTGGATCCCAGCATCTTGGGTGGGTAGTCTCTGCTGGTCATGCCCATGAGGAGCAGAGCCCTGTGGTGAACAGGGGCTGATCTGACACTAAGCAGGACTTACTATGCTTTCATCTTCCCACGTGGAAAGTTCTCCGTGGTTCATCTCATCAAGATGGTCATCTTGGGGATTAGGATTTGAGCTTGGAAACTGAAACACGGTGACCTTCTTCTGCTGGAATTGCCCTCGAGTCTCCTTTGATCTCAGCTCAGGTCTGCTGAGGTCCTGCTGCAGAGCTGAGGTCACTCTTCAGGGTCTCCAAGCTGGAAAGAAGCAGCTGAGGAATGGTCTTTGGTGTCTTGAAGCTTAAGGAGAAGGTGCTTTCTGAGCTGCTGCCAACCTCTAGTGGCCTCAGCAGTTCTGTCTCTCTTCACACCTCTGACCTGCCTGCCCACGTGAGTTGAATCAGCCCTTGGGCTCTGCCTGCTGGTGGCAGGGAGATGGAGATAGAGAGTTCCACCACCCAGAGCCCTTCCCCAACGCTGCCTTTGAGCAGAAGCTCCTGGGGCTCGTGACAGCCACGAGCTCCTTCCAGCCCAGGAGGGACACATCTCTGAAGCATGGCAAATATGCCCAGCTGGATGGGCTGGATTGGGAAAAACCAGGCAGCAGTTCCCAAAGACTGGTTCGGAGCCCAGCACTCAAACCCTCTTGGTTCTGTTGGCAACCAGGTGTCTGAATCCCACCCATGACTTTGGAGATGACATCACCACTCTCCGAATGGCACAGAGCAGTAGCTGGTGGTGGCAAAAATTCAGTTGTTGTCCAGCTAGATCTTTAGAGGGTTAAGGTCTTCATTTTGTTTTGCTCTGGGCACCCTATGTGTCATTGTGGGTGGCATCCTCTGGAGGTGGGAGAGGTTGGGCCAAGCAGTGAGGGTGATCCAGACGTGGGGCTTGTGTTTCGTGGTGCAGGACTGGGTGAGAGTTGGGGTGTCTCCAGTGTCTGTCTCTGCAGGTCAGTGTTTAATCCCCTTTTCCCTTTTCCAGCTTCCCACTACTACAAGTACAAGCAGCAGTTCATTTTCCCAGGTGAGTCTCTCTGGAGAATCTCTCCTGCATGGCCAGCTCCTCCAACCCCTGGATTTGTGCAGGGGAGGTTGTTCTGGGCTGGGATTTCTCCCCAAACTCAACACACTGCTGCAGGGCCGTGCACTGTGAAGATGCAGCAGGGCTGGGTGGCTCCAGGTCTTACCTGGCTATAGCTAAGGGTGTAACTAAACTGGACCTGGGGACAAAGGGAGGTTTTCATCAGGATTTAGTTTTTCTGGGTGCTCCTGGTGCCTCCCAGCCTGCTCTCACCCTGCTCTCTTCTCCCCAGACGTGGTGCCTGAGACGCCGACCCGAGCCCCGCAGGTGGTCCTCCACCCTGTCAACTCCAACACCATGTGAGTGCCTCCTCCTCCTCCTCCTCCTCCTCCTCCTCCTCCTCCTCCTCCTCCTCCTCCTCCTCCTCCCAGCTACCTTCACCTTTTCCTCCCCAGGCAGCACATCTTCTGCACCCTGCCTCCTCTGGGCCAGCTCCCCTGGCTTTGCAGGACCAGTCTGGGGCTCGGAGATGGTTGGGGTGAAACCCTGGTGCTCCCACTGCCCCAAGCCAGCTCACGGCTCTGGCTCATGTCTTGAGGAGGAAAAAGGTTGAGAGGAGAGAGCAGGGGATTGATTTATAACCCACAGCAATGCACCTGCCCAGCACTTTGCTGTCAGAAAAAAAAAATGACTTTCAGTCCAAGGCAAAAGCCTCGAGACATTGAAGCCCATGCGATTAATCTTTTAGTAGATTATAAGCAGAAAACCAAGGTCTCTGAGGTAGTTTTAATAAAAGCAGTCCTTGCAGACCCACCATCACAGAATCATCGAATGGGTTGGGTTGGAAAGGACCTTAAAGATCATCTAGTTCCAACCCCCCTGCCGTGGGCAGACATGTTTCCCACTGTACCTTCAGGTCCAATAAACTTTGCACCAAAACTCGTTAGGGAAGGATTTTACAAGGCAAGACTTTAACAGATTGGTTCTCTCTCCAGCTGCCCTGTGCTCTGTGTCCAGCTCGCCGCCTCTCTCCAAACCTCCTTGGCTGCTGCTGAGGGGGACTGGTGGATCTCACCCCTGGCAGGGATGAGGATGGGGTCACTGTTGGTGGCTGGGAAATTAATGGCAAAGTGGTGAAGTCAAAGCCTTTTATTATTACTTTTTTCCTTCTGTGCCTAAAGCAAGGTGTTAGATGTAGGGCTGGACAGGTTTGTGTGGGCAAATAGCTTTCAATGGGTAAAATGTGTCCCTTTCTTGCTCATCCCACTGGAGATGACCTGGAAATAACCCCAGGCTTGGCTGGGTTAAACAGCAGACTCTGCTCCGTGAGGTTGGATACCTCTCCTGAGACCCTTGCTGCCTCTGGGAGGAGAGGCTGTTATTTATGTTATTGATAATAATAATTTATAATACATTCGTATCATGCTCGACGAATGCAGTAATTAACATCACTCAACCTGGCTCTCCTCCCCCTCCTCTGTGAGCACCCGGGGCCATCCTGGGGGATGGAGACAGCCAAGGGGTGGGTGGGAAGGGGTTCCTCTCCCAAATTAGCAGCCAGCCTGGTGATACTTCTCCTTGACCCCTCTAGTCCTGGTGTGGAGTGATGCTTGTGGGAAGCAGGACTCGGTGCCCACACATGCTCCCCACTTAAGTGTGTTTTCACCCAGTAATAACTCAACAATTCTTTTCACAGCCTGGGAGGAAACCCCTTGCTTCAAATTGAAGTGGAGCCCACCTCGGAGGTGAGATGGCTGACCTCTCCTCTGCTTCATGGGTCTTTGGTTTATAGGTATCTTGGGGCACGTTTCACAGGGACTGGATGGGTTTAGCTTCTGTGCAGTGAAATTGCTGCTGATTGAATTAATGACCAGGTTTGACCCTGCCCAGACACGTGGCCCCACCTCACGAAGAGGGACCCTCATGGGCTTCATGTCTCCCCTCAAGTTCATAAGTCAACAAGCTTTGTTGAGAAGCATTAAAAATTTGCTGGAGGGAACGGGGTGGAGGGTGAGGATGGGGATGCAGCTTTTAATAGGGGTTGTAAATCCTGTGGAAAGCTTATACAGAGAGCCAAGGGAAAAGCCAGATCCCTCCCTGGGGCCTGGGGGCTGGGAGGTGGCAGGTGGGGGCTGCTGGTATTAGCAGAGCACAGCCATGGTGGGATGAAATGATGCTTTCAGAGGAATTAATTAAATGTCCCCATGCGTGGCTCTCATGTATTTAACCCTGGGGGAAATAAATGCAACCTTGCAAAATCTGGGTGTCTGCTGGCTTTGCACAGCCCATGGCTGCCTGGTTGGCATCGGGAGGTTCCTGCTGGGTTTCTCCAGGTCTGAGCAAGCAGCGGGGGGGGGGTTAGTGGGGTTTGGGCCACATTCCCTTCCATTTTTTCACCCCCCATTTCACCCCCCTCACCTCCCTGCAGAACGAGGAAGGCGCCGAGGAGGCTCAGGAGTCCGAGGACGACTTCGAAGAGATGAACCTCTCGCTCCTCTCCGCCCGCAACTTCCCCCGCAAGGCCAGCCAGACCAGCATCTTCCTCCAGGAGTGGGACATCCCCTTCGAGCAGCTGGAGATCGGTGAGCTCATCGGCAAGGGGCGCTTCGGGCAGGTCTTCCACGGGCGCTGGCACGGGGAGGTGGCCATCCGCCTCATCGACATTGAGCGGGACAATGAGGACCAGCTGAAGGCCTTCAAGAGGGAGGTGATGGCCTATCGACAGACCCGCCACGAGAACGTGGTGCTCTTCATGGGAGCCTGCATGAGCCCTCCCCACCTCGCCATCATCACCAGGTAAGCTCCCACGCCTTCTGCTCAGCCAGGATCCTCTTCTTCGTTTTCCAAAATGCCTTCCTGAAGTCAAACGTTACTGGGAGGCAACTCCGGGCCTGTCTCCCAAGGGATGTTCTCCATCTGCTGTGGTTGGTGCTGTGAAGCAGGTGGCAAACCTATCTAAATGGGTCCAGGCAGATTCATCTCCTATAGAAGTGGAGCTCTGAGGCAGGAGTGGTTTGTTTTAAGGGACAGGAATGAGCTGGTTTAACCAGGGGGGATGTAACCTGGTGGGATCAGCAGTTTCTGTCCTGGGGTGGTCTGGGTTTTTTTGCATGGTCAGGTCACTGGCTGGGTGGTGGGGTCTGGATGCTGCTTGAGCAGTCTGGGAAAGCCTCTGACTGTATAAAGCAGCTGGTCATGTGTGGACCCCAGGTTTCCAGAATAACGTGGTGCTGTGGAAGCAGCTCGGGTGTCTGAAGGCTCAGTAGGTGCAAGTGTCAGGTCCAGTGGTCTGGGAAAGAGCCAGAAGGGCAGCAGAGGTGGGAAAACCAGGTGCTTGTGAGGAGAGCTCGTGCTCCCTGAGCCTGTACCCTGTCCATGGAGGTCCCCTGACTCCTGAGGAGATAAACCCTGCAAGATAAGTCATGGTCTCTTGGAGCATTTCCTCCCTTTCCCAAAGCTGTTGTCTCTGTTACACCCCAATGTCAGTGCAGGACTAACAGAAGGGAGTCTGGGATGGGACCAGGGAAGGGAGTTTGGGGGCTTGAAGAGCTGCTGGGTGGGTGGCTGGTGATGCCTGGGGATGTTGCAGCAGGTTGTGGGGATGAGACTGCTGGAGGGGGCTTCTTGTAGCTTGTTGGGAAGCAAGCTGGCATCTGGGGTCTCCCAAACCATCTCAAACATCTCCAGAACTGTCTTGGTCTCAAGGAATTCCCATGTACCTGTAGACACTGAGCATCCCAATGTACACCCTGCATGGGTGGGCAACCACAAAATCCCTGGTGGCCCCGAGGCAGGGAGGCTGCAGCCGCTCCTGGAGCAGCCGTTGGCATGTGGAATACATTTATTCCTGAGTATCCAGTTATTTACCTCACCTCTAGACCACGTCCTCACTGGTGGGGCTCAATGTGGAGCTGTGTTGTATCACACCATGGGTTACCTTCTCTTGGAGAAGTTTCCTCGAGGTGAAGTTGAACTTCCAGCCCCCTCCTGGCAGGATTTCAAACCAGCCTGCACTGGAATGGCAACGCCTCCAACAGCCATTAGTGATGAAATATTGCATCATCCTTCCCAAATATCCCAGTTCCCCCAGTCCCAGCTGGGCAGCTCTGCAGGTGCTGGGTTTGGGGCTTTGCTCTGCTCCCCTCCTTGCTCATCAGCAAAGGATTTCAACCCAAATTTGGGGCTCCTCACGTCGTCACTTGCTCCTTGCCCTGGTGGGTCCGTGGGCTGGGGATTTGCATCTTCTGGAGACAGGGTGACTTCAAGTAGGGGCTGACTCTCTCCAGCTGGGGACTGGCAAAAATAGCCTTTTTATTTTGGACCAAAAACTAGCCACCTGGGAAAATTCAGCAGCTTTTCAGATCCTCAGCTATTAGGCAGTTTCAGGCCAGAAGCTCTTTGAGAAGTGTGCCAACGTGTGTTGATGGGTGCGTCAGAGACCCCATCTCTGTGTTACTCTGTGTTGCTGCTCCTACCCAGAGGAAAATGCAGCTCCCTCATCCCCCTCCGTGATCCCTTTGCAAGCCTCTATTTGCTCAGCTTTTCAACCCTATTCAATAGCAAAACCTGGGTGATGTGTTTATTTTTTCATCTGGTAGCTCTAAACCCTTTTCTATTCTAATGCCTCTTTCCATAAACCCATAACGGGGCCATTTTTGACAGTTTGACAAAATAAATGTGTGCTCCAGTAGCTTGATGCATTAATGTGAGGGCTGGGAAGCATGTGGCTCCTCTTGTTTTGCTTCCCACCTGCACTCAGGCCTTTTTTTTTTTAAGGTCAAAGTAGAGCTTTATGGGATTGCCTGAAGTATAACCAGCATCTCTGAGCATTCCCTGCTCTTTGCCTACAACTGGCAACCCACTTTGAGCCGTGTTCTTGGAAGGCTGAATCAACATCATCATAGTTATTGGAAACCTGTTTGGTTTTTTTTTTTTTTAGGAAGCCCAGGGCTGCATGAGTGCAGAGCCTTTAGCCTGGAGGTCATCTCCAGATAGAATTTATTCCTCCTTGAGGCTTCCCGTGGGGCTTTGTGCTGCTGGTGCTGGCCCAGGAGGCATCTCAGTGCAAAGCATCCCTGGAATTTCCAAGGAATACTCCTTGTGCCTGCAGACCTTGTCAGCTCTATCTTGGGTTAAACAGTCTTGGAGGCTTCTTGGGACATCTCCGATGATCTTCTGTGGGGAAAAGCCTTGGAGCAAGGTCTCCATCCCATGGATGTTTCCTTTCTAGCCTTGATTGTTGGAATAAGCAGGTCTTTCCTAAGGGATACAACAGCCCTGAGGGGGCTTCTGCCATGTCACAGCCAGGAGCTGCCACTTGGGTGTTGTAGAGAGCGAGTATGGGAAGAGGACATTGTAGTGTGGACTGGGAATGGTCGAGGACACTGGGAATGGTCCAGGATGTGGCACTGGGGGAGGAGAGAAGCTGCTGACCCTACACATGGGAGGGTGTTCCTCTTCAAAGAGGCTTTTTCTGAAAGGATTCAAGTTCTCCCCATGGGTTTAGAGGAGTAACTTTAAACCAGGCTTTGCTGGGCGTGGAGGAAAGTCAGTCCCTGCTGTCCCATGGGGCTAGTTAGATACAAATCCAGGATGTCCAAATTTCCTCACCCCAAACACATCCCCGTGTGCACACATGGCTGTGTGCAGGAGAGGCTCCTTTTCTTCTGGGTGCCCAGAGGGTGGTCGCTTGAGGATGTTTTTTTCCACCAAAAAAAAGAGCAATTTCTTGTAGCTATTAAAGAAATCTCCGTTTTCCTGCTGGCACACTGGAAGCAGCTGCCTGGCCCTGGAAGGGGCTTCACCACGCCGTACTGGAGGGGGTTTATTTATAGATAGGTTTATTTTTACTTTTTCACATCCCTACGTGTTCCTTCCTGCTCATTTGTGATATTCAAGGATCGCCTCATTAGCAGAAAGAAATCTCCCCCTCCAAACACCACTGTCCGTGGGCAAAAGCTGGGAGGGGAAACTGAGGCAGCATCTTGTTTACAGTGTGATGCTTTGGGTTAGCCCTCTGGTTTTCTCTGCATTAACCACTGGGACCAGTCGTGATGTAGATGGTGGGATCAAGTGCACCCTCAGGACATTTGTAGATGACACTAAGCTGAGTGGTGGGGACAGGATCCATTCAGAGGGACCTGGAGCTAGAGAATTTGGCTTGTGTGGACTTCATGAGGTTCAACAAGGGCAAGTGCAAGGTCCTGCACGTGGATCGGGGCAACCCCTGGTATCAACCCAGCTGGAGCGGGGCCAGAGGAGCCCCAGCAATGCCCCGAGGGGGGAACCCCTCTGCTGGGAGCGCAGCAGGAGAGAGTTGGGCTGGGGCAGCCACAGAGGAGAAGGCTCCAGGGAGACATTCTTGTGGCCTTGCAGTGTCTGAAGGGGCCCTGTCAGAAAGATGTGAATGGTCTTTTTAGCAGGGTCTGTTATGACAGGACAAGAGGTGATGGTTTTAAAGAGGGCAGATTCCCAGAGAGCAGGAAGAGATTTTTGATGCTGAGGGTGTTGAGCCCCTGTCCCAGGCTGCCCAGAGAGGTGGTCGCTGCCCCATCCCTGGAACCATTCCAGGTGAGGTCGGCCAGGGCTCTGAGCAAGCTGCTCTAGTTGGGGATGTCCCTGCTCCCTGTGGGGGGTTGGAACTAGTTGACCATGAAAGGTCCCTTGCAACCCCAACTATTCTATGATTTTTTGAGTTGTCTCCTTAATGTGACTGTCTGGGTCACGAAGAAAAGGGAGAAATTCAGCATCCTTTTGCAATGGGAGGTGGTGACTCCAAAGAGTGCTTCCATCAGAGCCTCTAATAGATTTTCTCTTGGGTAATGAGCGGTGGGGACAGTTAACATTCATCTTAATTAGTCTTGAGCAAGAACAAATGTGAGCCTTGGTGCATAATGGATCTCACAGAATGGCATCAAAGTCCTCGGCCCGGTGGAAATGAAAGGACAGAAAAAAATGCCGTGTTTGCTGCAAAGGGGCAAATGACAAGTTGGGTTTGCTGGTGTTCAGTGAGACAAAGCCAGGCCTGGGTGAACTCACGTCAGCTCCCTGGGGCTCCTAATCCCAGCCCCCGTCGGTGGCAGTGCAGGGAGGGGAGGTAAAGCCTCAGCCACCCAGGAGGTCCTTCAAAGGACAGAGGAACAGTTTTTTGATGCTATTAAAACAGCTCGAGCCACCCACCAAGGTAATGGCTTGTAGAAACTACCAGGGTTTAGGATTCTGGGTGTTCCTTCCAGGAGAGAAATTTAAAAAAAAAGGGATTTCGATGCTTACGGATCCTCCTTAAGGCTCCTGGGTCTGATTGAGTCTGTAATGAAAGTGGGGGGATCAGCGTGCTGGGTGCAGCTTTTGGGGGCACTGGTGGCTTTGTTGGGTGGGAGTGCTGTTTGCAGGAAGGGAGAGAGTTTAGGAGGGCTGGAAGGCAGGAGGGAGGAGGTTTGAGCTGGAGCTTGCCCCTGATTTCAGCTCCTGCTGACTTGCGTGGGGGGGGTTGGTACAGCTTTGCTGAGCAGATTACTTGGGTTTTAGTTAAAAGCTCCAACGTGGCACTGGGAGCCCGTGCAAAGACCCTGGGATCTGCACCCTGAGGTGATCCTGGGGGGGTTTTCACCCCTCTCTCACCAGGGGTGAGAGAGCAACTCTGGATTTGCAGGGTGCAACCAGGAGCCGACTCGATGGCTACTTGTGATCCCATCCAGGGCTGCTGTGATTTATGTCCCTGCTGTAATGCACCAGGAAGACCAAGGAGAACATTGAAGAACATTAGGAATTAAGCTTGGCCATGGCAGGACTATATA